CAGGCATTTGCGCAGTGGTTGTTTTCAGCCCGGAACATTCCTTCTTGAGAACAAGATGTGGCTCCTCGGGTCACCTGTCACCTGTCCAGAGCGCCTTCCTGACCACCTGACCTCATCCACGTCTTCATCCTTCTTCACATTAATTCTCATTAGTGGAAATTTTGTTATAAAAATGACATCTAGTTGTGCCCTCTCCCCTAGAATAGAAACACCCCAGGGGCAGAGGCCCTGTTTGTTTGAGTTTCCCCGTATTTCCAGAGCCTGGGACAAAAGCCCACCAAGTCACTGCTGGATGAAGCGCGACCTCGAGGTGCTGAGCAAAGCTAACAATGCTTCTACCCCTGTGCACACCTGGTAACACCGTCCCTGCCAGTCCTACAGGTGCCAGAGGAAACTCAAGCGTCCACCCCAGAACCTCAAGAGGCAGGCTCTTTAAAAGTCAAGAGCACACAAGTTTGAAATCTTGTTGGCTGTGGCCTCCCCGGTGGCCCCAGGGCGCCCTCTGTGACCTCCCCGGTGGCCCCAGGGCGCCCTCCTGGCCCGCAGCCTTGCTGGGGAGGGCCTGTGTAACACGTGTTTCTGAGCGGCTTTTGTGACTTTGGCAAGTCTCTGGCGAGCTCCGGTTCCTTCCCAGTCTTGTGGGGCGGTCTCCGGCCTGGGCAAGCACTGGGTCTGGTGGGCACCTGCACGATGGGGGGCAGAAATCAAGCCCCGGAAACCCCGCCGCGGGGAATCCAGAGCCCGAGTGCCTGGTGCCCGCTGGATGCCCCCCTGACCCGAGGCCGCGGGGACCAGGGCAGGCGTGGGGGTACCTAGCAGGTGGGATACTTGCGGAGGATCATCCTCAGGGCCTTACAAGCCCTTCCCCGCCCCGGAGGGCACGGGGTAAAACTCAGCAAGTGTTCATTACACTCCCGCAGAGCAAGTGGTTAACCAAATAAAACGGAATCGGGACATCGAGTACGGAGCGTCCGCACCCCCAGGAGTCTGCGGTTCTGGTGGGGGGCCCCAGGGGGCGGGCAGAGGCGGAGGGGTTCCGGGGAACGCGGGGGAGAGAGGAGGGTAGAGGGGCTCCTGGCCCGCGGATGCGTCAAAGGGTTGTGGAAACCCGGGACAGGGCCCGCGGTTGGGCAGTGGGGGCGGGGAGTTGGGGACTGGAGGGTGTTGCGGGAGGAGTAGCACGGGGGAGGGGGCGGGGTCCCGAACCTGCGGCTGGGCAGTGGGGGCGGGGGAAAGGGGGGGAGTGCGGTGGGTGGAAAGGGGGCGGGGACAAGCGCGGCGGCGGCAGGCGGGGCGCTCCGCACTCGGGATTGGCCGGGCGCCGGCCCTCCGCCCCCGCCTCTCGGCCAATCGCCTGCGCGCACCGTCGGCCGCCGGGTCCCGCAGGCCCCGCAGCTTCAGGGTTGCGGCTCCGGTTAATAGCTGTCGGGCCCGCACCTCCTCGCGCCTGGACGCGCCCAGCCCGCCCTGCTTTCCTGCGTCTCCGTCCAGGTGAGCGCCCGCCAGGCCGAGACCCGCCCCGCCTCTGGGCCGGGGGCTCGGGCTGTGGTCCCGGCGGGGCCTGGGTCGCCCCCACCCCTCCGCCGGAGTTGCATCATCTTCACCTGCGCGCGGCGGAGCAGGGCCGGCGTCCCGCGCCCCCGGACCCTCCCCGCTCCCGCGCGTCCAGGCGATCTTGAAGCCGTGGGTTCAGCACCCACGTGGCCCCGGACCGCCCCCCAGCGCCCGTTTTTGTGGAGCGGGCGGGGTGGGGGGCCGGGAGCCGGGGTGGGATCATTGATTTTTCGCGGAATTTTGGATGGGAAAGGGCTATTTCGCAAATCGCTCCTTTCCGCCAGTTGTATGAGGTGGGAGTAAATATTGATGTTGCGTGGGCGGCACGTGAGGTGGGTGCCCATGGGGGGAGGGGACGCGGGGTCGTGCCCCGGGCACATACTCGGGGGCGTGGAGGGAGGATACCCTAACACCCCCACTTCCCCAAACCCTAGGCGAGGCGGATGGCCGAACTGGAGGGCGGGAACGCACAACTTTTAGCTTCTCGAGGATTACCTGGGCGTGCTTATCCCAAACTGTCCCAAAGTGCCCCTCCCGGGCGGTCTCCAAATCCTCTGTAGGGTCTCGATCTCCCACCTGAAAACTCAACTTTAAAGAGAGGAGTTTACTCCCTCTGCACCCTTGACCTGCCCCCCTCCCCCAACACTGGGCCGACTGGTGCGTGTCTGCAGAGTACAGGGTGCCCTCGGGGCGTTGTGACCCTAGGAGGGTCTCGCGGTTTAAGGTGGGGCGGGAGCCAGCCGGGCGGCGCCAGGTGAGCCCGCCTCCCCAGGACGCACGTGCGTCGGGGCGCGGAGCCCGCGGGTTCGGACCCGGTCGGCGAGCGGGCGTCGGGCCCAGGGCTTTTGGGGGCCGCGGAGACTCGCTCGGCTTCCCCCTGTGTACGCCGCAGCTCCTCACCTGGCCGGAGGTTTCGCCAGGCGAGGCGAGTAGCCAGAAAGGAGGCGCGGGGCTGCCCGCGTCTTCCCGGACCCCGTCTGCGAGCGCTGTGGCCGGGCCGGGGGCTGCCGGGCGGTCGGCCTCTGATGGGGAGCCATGCCTGTGACTCGGGGGCTTCTGCAAGATGGAAGATCACCTGCCCACGGGCTACTCTGGCGCCCGACGAAGAACCGGGGCTGTTCCGCTTAGGTCTTTCCAAAAGGAGGGAGGACATCCTTGAGTGGCTTCAGGGAAGATCTGAACCTCGATAAAGGAAGTGGGTGATCCCGAGGCTCGGAAGAACCACCGCTCTAAGGACGCGGGGCAGGACAGCGGGGAAGGCTGGTTTCTCCCAGAAGGCCCCCAGCCTCGGGGGGCTGGAGAATTTCCAAGGGGTGTGTGACTTGCAAAGGGTGCAAAGGTTCCTAACTCCCTGTTGGCAGGCTCTGGCCTAGGGGTCTGTGGGGAGCCGCCTGGCTGGGCCGCATCAGGCCACCTGAGTTGGGGGAAAGGGACCCAGCTGGGGCTTCCTCTACCCTTGCTGATAACCCGCCTGGGCCGGCCGGGTGAGCTCCAGAGGAGAAAGGGAGCAAGCGAGCGGCCCAGGAGCCTGGATTTACAGTTCCACGGGAGGAGCCCTGTGCACCTTCAGCCCAGTTCCCCAGGGCCCTCGACCTTTTCACTGCAAAACTGAAGCTCTTGGGAAGCAGAGGAGGTGCATGGCTGGGATCTGGGGTCCTCCTGCCTCTCAGAGGAGCTGTGTGGCTGTGTTCAGAGACCACCCTGAGCCACATCCCCTACCACGAGCTTCCTGGCAGGGACTTTTCCAAACCCGCAGGATTCAGAGCCTTTTTTTTTTTTTTTTTAAGACTTTATTTATTTGTTTGGCAGAGAGAGAGTGCGCATACAGGGGGCGCAGCAGGCCAAGCGGAGAGCCCAACATGGGGCTCGACCCCAGGACCCTGGGATCATGACCCTAGCCGAAAGCAGGAACTTAACTGAGCCACCCAGGTGCCCCTAGCCTTTTTTTTTTTTTAGAGCAGTTTAATTTTAGGAAAAATTGAGAAGACAGGATGGAGAGTTCCCACGTATATGCCTGCCTCCTAACACAGTTTCCCTGATTAGTCTCTTGCATTCGTAGGTACCTTTGTGACAGTGAACAGGACTCTTCACTGAAGTCCATACTTACTCAGGTTCCCTTAGTTTCCCCTAACACCCTGTTTGTCTTCCGGGATTGCAAGCAGGACATACCTCCTTTGTGCAGCAGAGTTTGCGCTGTGGGAAGTTCTCGGGGACCAGTGCCTACTTGGCTGGGCTCCGTCTTCTGGTCAGTGTGGGAAATGGAAGAAGGTGGCAGAAGAGGGGCTGAGCTCAGTCCCAGTCTCTCCAAAGATGAGGGTGGCGCCTGCTAGTTGTCTCCCCAAAGGAGTGAGGCAGGACTGCAGCCAAGTGAAGCCTCACCCCTGAGTGAGCCCGCCTCCTTCCCTCCGCCCTCCCTTCCGTCTGCCTGTCCCTATTGTTCAAGGAGCAACTGTGTTTAAGGTGTAAAACTTGATTTTTTTTTTTTTTTGAGAGAGAGCGAGCGAGCGTTTGCACACGCGAGAGAGGGAGGGGCAGAGGGAGAGGGAGAAGCAGACTCCCCACTCAGCAGGGATCCTGATGCGGGGCTCAGTCCCAGGACCCCGGGATCATGACCTGAGAGGAAGGCAGACGCTTAACCGACTGAGCCACCCGGGCGCCCCTGATTTTGTTTTTAAGATTGAAAGAGAGAGAGAGCCTGCACGCGCGTGCACACTCAAGCTGGGTTGGGAGGGAATGGAGGGAGAGGGAGCATCCCGATCAGACTCCCCGTGTGGATCCATGATCCTGGGATCATGACCTGAACTGAAATCAAGAGTCTGACTCTCAACTGACTGCATCACCCAGGTGCCCCGATTTTTTTTTTTTTTTTTTAAATGGAACCTGGCCTACGTGTGCCATTCGAGACAGAAGCCCTTTTTACAACTTGGTGTTTGGGTTTGATGTATACATTGTGAGACAAACACAGTCAAGTAAGATACCCATCACCTCCACATAGGAGCCTTTCTTTTTTTCCCACACGCCCCCATGTTGAGAAAAAATTTTAAACTTTATTATTTTTTTATGGCCAGATGATATTTCCGTTGTGCGGATATGCCGCATTCTGCTTATCCCTTCATCTATGGTGGACACTCGATTTGTTTCCACATGTTGCCCGCTGTGAGCCCGAACGTGGTGTGCAAACATCTCTTCCCAGTTGTCTGGGTATATGCCTGGGAGTGGGAGGCTGGCTCACATGGTGGTTCTGTGTTTAACCTCTTGACGAGCCTCCAAGCCATGCCCAGCAGCTGGGGCTGCAGTTTGTGCTTGTTCTTGTTGAGCTGTTTGGGTGGAGCCCCGCCCCCCCGGGGGACCAGGTGAGCCGAATTCCCCTGGTCCAGGGGCAGCGAAGCGGGCTCAGCAGCAGGTGTTTAGAAACGGCCTGAACTGACTGAGTCTCTCCCCTCCGTTTGCCAGATCCCATAATGCCTTCCGAGACACCCCAAGCAGACGCGGGGTCTGCAGCGTGCCCCCACCTCTCAGGGGCACACCTGGGGAAAGGGAGCCTGGAGAAGGGGCCCCCTGGGGACAAAGAAGCCAAGGAGCGCCTGTGGATCCGTCCTGATGCCCCAAGCAGGTGCTCCTGGCAGCTGGGCAGGCCCGTCACGGACTCTCCGCATCACCACACTACCTTGTAAGTACCTGCTTACAGTTCCCAGTTGGTTTGTCTCTTGCCTTGAAGGGAGGAGTCTGTGTCCTGGAAGCCACATAGCCGTGTAGACCTGGGGTGTGGTCCCCCCTCATAATCACTCTGGAGGGGTGGTGAGCTGGGGCGGGGGACACCGTAGGGATGAGTGGCCTGAGGCTCAGAGAGGCCAAGGCTTGTTTGCACGGTAGCCCAGCACCTAGATCAGTGCCCAGTGAGAGTTGATGCTGAGTCAGTAACTGGATGTGCCCCAGTCACAGACTTGGAGCGACCCTTGGAGGTGACATTTCTAGCCCCCTCCACTGGCTACACCCTCGTGTGGGAGGAGAGCCTGCAGATTTCCAACCATTAGGAACACGCCTGCATTTTTTTCTACTTAGCTCTAGGTGATGAACACTTCTGATCATGAAATATTTTCCTACAATGGGCTCTTTTCGTGGTTGGGCCCCAACTGTTGGATAAAAAATTGTTAAGCCCTCTATTGAGTATTTAGATGTTCGCAATGATCTTGTGTGAATAACTATAATAGAAAACTGCATCTTTAACAAGAGCCCACGATATCCGTGCCCTGTTTTAGATGCAGGAGATGTGTCTGTGGGAAAGGAAAAAAAAGACAAAAATCCCTGTCCCATGATAAAACTTGAGTGCGCTAAACCTTAGGATTGTCTTATGTCCTTAGTATAATCTCCCAGAAGCAGAGAATGTGCTCTCAGGTGTTTGATTTTTTCCCAGATACACTGCTGGACCAATGCTCGTGATTCCTGGTTTGAACATCAGAAGTCGGGGGGGGGGGGGGGGGGAGGCCTCAGAGGGACTGAAAAATGTACAAATCCAGAAGCTGCAAACATTAAATGTGTCTCAGTGCCAGGAGCTGAGGAGGCCACCTCGGCTGCTGGCCAGACGGGATGAACCCTCGCTTCCAAAGCAAAGCCGAGCAGGGGCAGAAGGGCCGTGTGAGGCTGGGGCGTGGTTGCTGTGGGTGGGGTGGGGGGGGCAGGGGGTAGCAGAGAGAGACCCGGGTTCCTGAGGGCTCCTGAGCTCTAAGTCGGAAAGCCTGGGGTGGAGAGGATGCTCTCTTATCCTCACATACTGGCCTAATCAACCCGCTTAAAGATGCGGTGGGGTTGCCCTCCTGAGGGCCTCCAGGCTCGTCCCTGCTCAATTCTATACCGGTTCCCATGAAGCTTCTGAGGGGGAGGGGTCTTGCCCCCAAGTCCTGGTGCTGAGTCAGGATCCCCAAGTTCTCCTGCCCAGAGTGGGGTGGGGGGGGAGGCTCAACCTCCTTGCCCTCCACAGCCCCTGCTGGACCAGGAGGATTCAGGGGTAGCTGTTTAGCTCTGTCCCTTTGACTAGTTAATGAATCAAGCCCCAGCCTCTCCCTGAGGGCCTGGCCTTCCTCCAAGGCTGAGATCAGGAGCCCTTGGCCCCCAGCCAGGCTTTCCCTTCAGCCCAGCATCTGTGAGGTGCCTCTCTGCTGGGCTTGCCTCCGGGCTGCCCGGGGTGTCCCCCCTGAGCCTCTTGGAAGGCTGCCATTGGAGGTTGGGTTCCAGCTTGTCCTCCTGGAGGCCTGTTTGGGCCCCTGGGGTGGGATGCTCCTCCTTAGCGCCTCCGGACCCCCTGGGAAGCTGGGCCTGCTGGGGCTGGGTGTGGGGCCAGGTTCCTGGAGCAGTGGGCTCGCTGAAGTCTGAGAACCCTGGAATGTATGTTAGAAAGCCAAGGCTGTAGGAAGCGATTGCATCTCTCGGAACTCGGGTCAGTGGTGCATATTGCCAAGCGAAAATTCGGTGAGCCCATCGGTGGCGCAGACAGGAGGAGGGTGTGGAGTTGGCATCAGTCCCCGAGGGTAAGGATGGGGGAAACTTTGTGGGGGCCCTTCAGGAAACACATCTATCATGGTTTGCACGCACGCGAGCCGGGCTGCCCACACCCGCCTGTCACCTGTCACCAGGTGGAAGAATGGGGAGAGGGAGCCAGTCGCTCGAGTGTGAAGGGAGACTGTGGGTCCATGATACGGAAACCCACACTGAGCTGGAGGGCCGCCTGGGAATTCATCCTGGCCTTGACCCCAGGGACACCAGGGGCTCCCCCAAGGTCTTGATGGTTTTGTTTGGAGCGTGGTGCTTCCGTCCCCGGCCTGGTGGGCAAACAGGCAGCCTGGGGGGCCTGGGGGCTCTGGGGTTGGCACCAGTTTTTTCATCAAGGGAAAGAAAAGGAAGAATCCTAGGGGTCAAGGTGAGAGAGGGAAGGAAGTGAGGGTCCCCGGAAAAGACTTTCTGAACAGATGGACCAGGACCTGTCGAAGTTAGTGCTGTTACTTCCACCTTCTTATTTGGAAATTACACAAGAAGTTGCAGAAACCACACAGAGGGGTCCTGCGTCCCTGCGCCCAGGCGCCCTGTGACACCTGCTGCCCTGGACACGACCTTGGCACAGCCGACCTTAGCTGAGCCACAGACGGGGTTCGCTTCCGTCGGCTCCCACGCGTCCTCATGTGGCGTGTGTGGATGTGCCTGTGACCGTAGATTTGTGCCATCACCCAGATCCCGACAAAGCCAGTTCTTTGATTTGCTTCTTGATTAAAACAATGTGCTGGACTGCCAAGTCTGAATAATCATGGACTCCTCTGTTTTAGGGCAAAATCCCCCAAAATCTTGCCAGATATCCTGAAGAAAATTGGGGACACCCCCATGGTGAGAATCAACAAGATTGGGAAGAAGTTTGGCCTGAAGTGTGAGCTCTGTGAGTACCTGGCATCCTCTGTCCGGTGCTTGGCCCGGCGGCTTGGTGGGCCCAGGGCTGTGGGGCAGAGGGGCCAGGAAACGAGCTGGCAAAGGATGTCCGAGACCATATCCGGCCCAGCAGGGATGTGCCGGGGTGACGGAGCTGGCCGCTCTGGTCAGGGCCTGCACGCTTGTCGGCTCGGATCCCTGCTTCAACGCCGGCCTTCGCACGGGCTAGTTAGAGTGATGGCATTCAGTAATTCAAGTGTGGGACCTGGAAGGGTCCCGGGGCGCAGGCCTGCCGAGCGGTCAGGCGTTCGGGAGCTCCCGCCCATCACACAGCCGCACACTGTCCCGCCAGGGCCTCTGCCTGGCTCTAGGGGGTAAGTCTGCGGTCGAATTTCAGAAATCAGGACAAACTAGGTGTGAGGTGGTTGTGCCCATGTTACGTAGGCCGGCCCGGGCCCATCCACGTGCATCTGGTGCCGTATCCACCCGGCCTTTTACACACGCTAGGTGTTTTTAAGAGATGGGAGGGAGCCTTCCCACAGGAAAGAAGAGCAGAGACAGGTCAGGGAGAACTCGGGAGAGCCCCGTGTGCCTGGGCGAGGGGCTTCTCCCAGGGAGGAGGGTGATGGGAGGCAGGCGTGGAGCGTTTGCAGGCCCCAGTCGGACAGGGCAGAGCCATGTCCTGTTTAAGGGGGGCGTGGGGCTCACATCAGCCATCTGCTGCATGTCCCCCAAGTCTCTCTTGGGACTGTGCTCCCCCAACGGGGGCTTTTCCTGGCCCATGCACCCAGCAGGGGCTCTGGGTGCCTTTTTCTCCTTCACTTAGAATGGCCGTGGGGCCGACAGCAGGTGGACGGGCAGGTGGGAGTCTCCCAGTGAGCCAGCACCCTCCTCCAGGCGCAGGCAGGAGGTGGGAACGGAGAGGGGCTGCTTTGCAGAACCAGCAAAGACCGTGTCTGTCCCCACATCCTGCCTGTATCAGAGTAAGGGGGGCGGGCAGCAGGGATCGGTTAGCGGGCAGGGGCCTTCTCGTGATTCATCCTCGGCTCCCAGTGGCCAAGTGCGAGTTCTTCAATGCGGGCGGGAGTGTGAAGGACCGCATCAGCCTGCGGATGATTGAGGACGCCGAGCGGGCTGGGACGCTGAAGCCCGGGGACACCATCATCGAGCCGACGTCCGGGAACACAGGTGGCTGTTGGGACAGGCCAGGAGGGTCCCCTGGCCTGGGGCGAGCTGCAGCTGCTTGCGGCCTGTCTGGCCGGCCTCCTCCCTTGGCTGTTTGCTCAGCACCTGGTGCACGTGTCCAGGGTGAGGGTGGGGGCGGGGGCCCAGGACACGCAGGAGGCACCGGGCGTCATGTTGCTCCTGGGTGGGCACGCTCGCCTTTGCCTTTCTACCTCTGGGGTTCTCTGCCCTGACTCCCTCACTCCGAGGCAGGAGGGGATGACATCAGGCCCCTTTGGAACCCGGGGTGCCATCTCCCTGGGCCTTCCTGGCCGTGGGGAGGGGCCTGGGGGGGGTGCGCCGCGGCCACCTCTCACCCCGCGCACTGTCCCCAGGGATCGGGCTGGCCCTGGCTGCCGCCGTGAAGGGTTACCACTGCATCATCGTGATGCCAGAGAAGATGAGCACCGAGAAGGTGAGGGCAGGGGTCCACTCCCGGGGCCGCCACTGCACATGAGGCCTGGGGGGAGACGCAGGTCTCCTGTTCCTCCACAGGTGGACGTGCTGCGGGCCCTGGGGGCGGAGATCGTGAGGACGCCCACCACCGCCAGATTTGACTCCCCCGAGTCGCACGTGGGGGTGGCGTGGAGGCTGCGAAACGAGATCCCCAATTCTCACATCCTGGACCAGGTGAGGCCGGGTTCTGGGGGCGGGCGTGCACTCGGGGGTGAGGACCTCTGTCGGGGTGGCGGCCGCAGAGGGGCCCGCGGGCAGCGGCGTCTCCGGCCTGGTCAGGCCCTGCAGTGGGTGGCTGGCTGCGGCAGGCAAGCCTCTGGCTCTCTGCTCTCCGTGCGGGCTTTGGAGGGCTCGGCCCTGGGCTGGAAGGGCCTGCGCCCTGGACCCTGGAAGCGCTCTGTCGGTGTAAAATGCACAAAAACCTTTCTACCAGAAACTGTCTGCCTCACTTCACTTCTGGGTCAATTCAGAAAGCGCATCTTCTGGAGAGCTGGATTTACTGCTTTGTACCTGTTGAGGTTCCTAAAACTGCCCGTGCCATTGGCCACTCTCACCCACGCTGCCGGGCTCCTCTCTGGCTGAGCTGTGCGCTCCTGCCCTGTGGCTGTTGCCCCTTCCGAGTATCTGACCTCACCATCTTCCCACGCAGTACCGCAATGCCAGCAACCCCCTCGCTCACTACGACACCACCGCCGAGGAGATCCTGCAGCAGTGTGAGGGTGTGTACTTCCGTCCTACCCCTCTGTCTGTCTCGACGGCATCTCCCCCTGCTTGCCTGGGAGTGTACGAGTCACTTACGCTCTCCTTGGTAAACTCCTGTTCATCCTTCAAAACCCAGCTCAAATGTCCCTTCTCTGTGACATCCTCTCCAGAGCATCTCCCTAGAGAGGTTTTCTCTCTCTAGTCTGCTTTTTCAGACTTTGCCTTTGCCTCCCCTCTAACACCAGACATATGTAGTCCTGTTTGTGTGCCCAGCAGTGTGTCCTCCAGACCTGCAGGGGCTTCTGAGTGCAGGGAGTGCGTGTGTCCCAGGCTGGTGCTGGATGTGTCCCTGGGCTTCACGCTGTGGAAGGGCACTTGGCATTGAGCCCCAATCTGAACCGGGTGGTGGCACCTGTGGTTGGTTTACTTTCTGTACGGACATGAGCTTCCTTGGAGCCTTTCTACACGTTCAGAGCCAAGGTCCGGGGGGTTTGTGGTGGTGTTTGCTGCTGGGCTATTTCCCGAAGAGACTTGAGGGAGAAGGTGCCGGGCGATGGGCCCCATTGGCTTCCTGCTTGGAATCTGGAGCCCAGGAGCCGGGCAGCGAGCTCCAAACATTTGCTCACCCAGGTTTTATGTGTGAGAATTATCTCATTTGGCAAAAACCAGCCTCTGCCTTGGCATGCGTGCCCGCGTGGACTTGTCTTCAGGCTGTCTGAGCTGGCCCCTCGGCAGGGTGAGAGCCAGGGTGATGTTTGAGCCGAGCCTGAGGGATTTCTTCTGTCTCCTTTATAATTCGCTTCCCTTAGTCACGTCCCAAACCTGACACCCTAGGGGCAGCCTCCAGACGGCGTGGAGGGACACACGCCAGATCGAGATTTCCGTGGCCGTGTATCTGTCAGCAAGATTGAAATGCCCCCTGCGTCACTTGCTGTGAATGCTGTTTAAGATCTAGCACTATAACGAAAGGATGTTGAAACACAAGAATAGTTTCTCTGGAACTCTTCCATAACCAGCCATCATTTTGGTTATGTTTTCACTTGTTAGTAAGCGTGGGGTGGGGGGCGCCTGGGTGGCCCAGTTGGTGAAGCGTCTGCCTTCGGCTCAGGTCCTGGGATCGAGCCCCACATCAGGCTCCCTGCTCAGTGGAACCTGTTTGTCCCTCTGTTCCTCCCCTGCTCTTGCACGTGTGCAGGCTCGATCGCTCTCTCTTTCAAGTAGATAAATAAAATCTTAAAGTAAAAGGCGGGGGGCGGGGGGGCCGGCTGGGTTAGGGCCTGAGGATCCCTGATGCGGCTTCTCCCGCCAGGGAAGCTGGACATGCTGGTGGCTTCGGCAGGCACAGGCGGCACCATCACGGGCATCGCCAGGAAGCTGAAGGAGAAATGCCCAGGGTGCAAAGTGAGTGACCCAGGGACTGCGGACGGGCGGGCGGTGGAGGCACATGGGCACCGGGCCTGCCCAAGAGACGCAGGCCCTGATGTGTGTGCTTCTCTCCCCTGCGGCCTCAGCTGCACTTGGGGGCGGAATCGTCAAGCTTCTGGGCATCAGGCCCCCAGAGTGGCCTGTGCTGTAGAGCTGAAAGTTCCTGACGTTTTTGCTTACAGCCTTATGTCCAGGACAATGTGTGTGTCTGTACTGGTCTGGGAGTGGCACGCCCAAATGCTCTGGGGGTGGGGCAGTTGGCTCGGGTGGCCTCCAAGGATTGTTCCAGAAGCTCGAAGCTCTTAGGCTCGGGTCCCACATGTGCCCCATCTGAGAAGGCATCTGGATTTGGAGTTAAGCCTGGACCTGGGGAGGGGCTTGTAGAATCATCCAACTGGTGGTCCATTTCTCTGCGCTCTGCCCCCACAGGTTCCAGCTGTCCCCATAGGGGCAGTCAGGGCTTTTCCTGGGGCACCCTGCTCACCAGGTTCTCCCCTGGGAGGCTCCCCACCACCACATGCCGTCCCCTCTGAGTGCCCCCGGGTGAACGTTTTCCTTGGAATCTCCCCAACTTGGGGCCTGGGTTCCTGGGTTTCCAGTTTGGCCTGAGGCCTGGGAATGAGGCACACGCCCCAGGGGCTGACCTTTATCAGGAGCTTGCTAAGGGCAGGATCAGCCCCCTCAATGAAAGCCAGGCGTGGCCAGATGAGACTTCTGCCCAGCTCCAGTCCTAATGCCGCCCACACTGCAGATCATCGGGGTGGATCCCGAGGGCTCCATCCTTGCAGAGCCCGAGGAGCTGAACCAGACGGAGCAGACGGTGTACGAGGTGGAGGGGATCGGCTACGACTTCATCCCCACGGTGCTGGACCGGTCGGTAGGTAGAGCCAGGCCACTGCCCCTGCGAGGGGTTCCAGCCCTCCGCGGACATGCACCCTCGAACCAGCTTTCTACGGAGGGGGAGTGGAGAAGTGAGCATGGCGCAGGCAGGTGGGTGAAGTGCGGTCCTGGCGGTCAAGGCTAGGTAACTGGCGGCACCTTATCAAGTGTGTGCCGTGGCCTTGCTGGGCAAAGACGTGGACGTGGCCGGTGGCACAGATCCAGCTTTGTGTGCACATCAGTCCCCCGCAGAGGGAGGGAGCTCCAGGTGCTTAGGGCAGGTGAGTGAGGTGAATGAGAAGGACCCCAGACAAGGCTCTTTAGGGGGAGCTTCCATCGGAGGGGTCTGGAGTGGACCTTGGGGGGACATACCGTGGTGCAGTGGGGGCTGGAGGATGGTTTTAGATGCCAGAGGCAGAATGTGTCAGACCAGGGAGAGGGAGAAAATTCTGGGTTTTTACACGTGAGAATCGCATCCCACACATGGGGCCGGGCCACGGCCTCCTGGACCAAGGCAAGGGCATCTGTGAGGTCGTACACACGGCGGTGGGCCGTGCCCCCAACTCACGAGGGCCCGAGCCCCTCCAGAACCTTCGGTGTGGGTCCTGTCTGCAGGTGGTGGACAAGTGGTTCAAGAGCAATGATGAGGAGTCCTTCGCCTTCGCCCGCATGCTGATTGCGCAGGAGGGTCTGCTGTGCGGTGAGTGGTGCGCGGGCGCCGGGGGGGGCGGCTGGGGTGCACACTCGCCCTCTGCCCGCTTCCAGCCCCGATGTGTGAGAGACAGCTCGTCCGGAGGCGGCGGGTGCCGTCCGGCCACCTGCCCTTCGGGGGGCCGTCGTGCTCACGGGCGAGGGCGGGAGGCCGCGGGGCAGATGCCGTTCCAGAACGTGGCCGGAGCTCTGGGGCAATGGTCCTGGGTCCCTAGGGTCCACACGCTTTGGTTTTTAACGGTCTTGCCGAGAAGGGAAGGAGCGGGAGAGGTGAGGGGCCTGGGGACGCAGCAGACCCCCAGTAGCTTGACAGGAAGGGGCCGTAGCCGTGGGCAGTGGGGTCCAGGTGTGAGCCGGGCGTCCGCCCCCCGCCCCCCGCGCCGGTGGGAAGAGTCCTGGCGATGCCGTGGGCCGCGCGCGGCTGTTTTGGGGGCGAGGCCAAAGCTCTCAGGACACTTGTGTTTTCCGTCAAGCCCAGCCCTGACCTTGGAGTGGGGGCTCACCGACTGGGGTCCCAGGCCGGAGGGCGTCTGCCATACGGGCCTCGGGGGGCGGAAGGAGGTGGGACAGCCCTCCTTGCCAGCTCCTTGCTCTCGCAGCCCCAAGGCCCCCAAGGGAAGCAGCCGGGTTTCCACCCCCGGGGACTTCGGGGCGGAGGGGACATGCGTGTGCTCTGCGAAACCCCGCGGAGGGCTCTCCGGGTTTCCTGGGGGGAGGGTTGAGCGACGCAAGCTGGACGGACGTGAAGCCCAGTGGGGTAAGAGGAAGGCAGGGTGCAGGAGAAGCGGGGTCCCCCCCAGAGGCCGCCGCTGTTGGCGGGTGCCCGGCAGCCCCCCCCCCACAGCGCGCATGCGCTCACTGACCCACTCCGCAGGTGGCAGTGCGGGCAGCGCCGTGTCGGTGGCCGTGAAGGCTGCCCAGGAGCTGCAGGAGGGCCAGCGCTGCGTGGTGATCCTGCCCGACTCCGTCCGCAACTACATGTGAGACGCGCCGCGCCGCGCCGCCCCGGCCTCCCCGGGTGCTCTCATGGCCCGCCGCCGGGCCTCCCCTGACCTCGGACAGCGAAAGGGTGGGGGGGGTGGGGGTCCGTGGGACCCCCGCAGGCTCTGCCTCCGCCCTCCTGGCCCCGGGGTTCCCCTTCACGTCTCAGGAGGTCATGGTTTTTCAGCCTGTCTTGTCCCCACCTGGGATCTTCTAGACGCGTTTCAAAGTCTGGGCCTAAAGCGTCGGCCGAGGGAGGATGAGAATGAAGCTGCCCTGCTGGCGCCTCCCTGCTGCCCTCCGCCACTCGCCCCGTGGCTTCATCCGCCCCCTGGCTGAGGAGAGCCCTGGCTGGGGTCACGTGGCCCCGGAGGCTCTGCTGTGGAATGTCTGACCAGTGGCCTCCAAGGCCGCTTCAGCCCTGATGGTGCCGAGCATTCGGGCACTTTTGTGTCCAGACTCCGAACACCACAGGCCCAGCTGATGGCCCCTGGGCGGATGGCTCTGCTCACGGGCCCAGTTGCTCTGCAGCAGGCGGCAGGGGGGGGGCAGGGGTCTAGAGACCCTCCCCCCGCCCCAAACCCTCACAACGTCCTCCATAGCGCGGGAGCTGTGCGCTGTGTGCGGTGCATCCAGCTGCTCCCCGTGGGCGCGCCGTGGTGGCACCCCGGGGGCGGGGCGATTCAGGTCTGGGCCCCCGTTGCCAAACTGCCCTGAGCTGGGCTGCCCACCGACCCCACTCGCTGAGAACGCCGACTCCCCAGAGTTTGGCAGGCCTGCCGTGTGTGTGCGCGTCTGTGTGAGGGGTGGGGTGGGCGTGTGGGGGCGGGGCGGGTCTGAGCGGTGGCGTAGGTGAGAGTCCCGGAGTTGGTTGGTTGAGGGATGGAGCGGGTCATCTCACACAGTGTCCCGGCCGCCCGGTGGCGGGTCATGGGCCCCCCGTGTGGGCACTCATGCTGCCTCGTCCGGGCCGGTCCTGGGCTGGCAGCCCCGTGGCGGGGCGGGTGTCCTTCACCCTCAGGAGGGTTGTGTTCCCTTCGTGGCTGTCCCTGAGTGTCAGGAGGGGGGCGGGGAAGAGGTGGCCCCGGGAGCCGCGAGGGGCCTGCTGGCTCGGGTCCGGGGACCGAACCTCCTGTGCCCTGCGCTCCTTCAGACACAGACGCGGGTCGCTGCTTGGCCGGATGCCCGCGTTAGGTCCTTGCTGGGGTCTCCCAGGTCTGCCCACTGGGCCTGGCCCCCTCGCCCTGCAGCCTCAGCCGCGGAGCGGGGGCGGGGGGTCTCTGCTGGACCATGGCATCCGGCGAGGGGTGCTGGGCTTTCTCTGAGAGCCCACCGTGTCCCCCTCCCTGTGGGCAGAGGGGTGGTGAGACCCTCCGTCCGGACCCTGGTGACGTGTTGACACCCACAGGTCCAAGTTCCTGAGTGACAAGTGGATGCTGCAGAAGGGCTTCCTGAAGGAGGAGGACTTCACGGTGACCAAGCCGTGGTGAGGACCGCCCTCCGAAGTCCCCCGTGTGGCCGCAGGGCACCTTGCTCCGGCGCACAGCTGCCCGGCCGTCCCCGCGGTCTCCCGGTGGGATGGCCCTCACGGTGGCCGAATCTGTCCCTGCCTCCCGCCTCCCAGTTCACGGCCCGCCCTGCTCTCTCCCTCAGGTGGTGGCACCTCCGAGTGCAGGAGCTGAGCCTGTCGGCTCCGCTGACCGTGCTGCCCACGGTCACCTGTGAGCACACCATCGAGATCCTGCGTGAGAAGGGCTTCGACCAGGTGCCCGTGGTCGACGAGTCAGGGTCAGTGTCCCCCCCACCCCCCACCCCGGGGCTGCGCTCCGCACTCCGGGACGGGGCGGCCGTCTGAGCACCCGCCGGGGCAGGGAGCTGGCCCCGTGGACCTGCGGCGCGGGGCCCCTGCCGCCGCCCCGCGCTCTCGCCCCGGCACAGGGGCAGGGGGTGGCCGTGCCAGCCCTGGCCGGCCACGCAGGTACGCGCAGGTTCCCGAGACTGTCCCCCTGCTGGCCCCTAAAGTCCAGGTCCCACGAGGCGGCCAGTTGGTTGGCCCCGACACTGGTCAGAACGGAAGCATCCAGGGGACCCGCTGGTTTGCCGAGTCCCTGCCGCACACAGGCCCTGCACGTACCGGTTGAATTCTAAGAGGATTTGCCCACCGGGCCGAAGGGCACCCTCTGACGCTGAGGGCGGCGGTGGGCATATTCTGCCCTGGGGGGGGGAAGGGGTGCCCGCCCTGCCCCCTGACCCTGTCCCCTGCTTCCCAGGGTGATCCTGGGGATGGTGACCCTGGGGAACATGCTGTCATCCCTGCTCGCCGGGAAGCTTCAGCCGTCAGACCAAGTTCGGAAGGTCCTCTATAAGCAGTTCAAGCAGGTACGAGTGCCGCTGACCGCGGTGCGGCACCGTGTGGCCACACGGGCTCAGGAGCAAGCCGGGCCCACGCCTTTCCTGGGCACGCTCGTGAGGAATACCGGGTGGGTCCAATTATCTAGTGAGAGCTAGAACATTCTGGAGACGTTCGGGGTTGGTTGCACGCGCACTCTGGCCTCCACATGGCGGCGAGGGGGAAGGTGGGCTGTTGGCTGTGCCGCACGGGAGAGGCCAGGGGCCCAGGGGGTCGAGCCCAAAGCCAGGGATGAGTGTGCAGCTCCTCCCTTGCCGCTCATGGCTGCAGGTTCGCCAGAATCCGAGGATTTCTTCCATTTCCACCGCCTCTCTCGGGCCCTGCAGAGCCCCTCTCCCACCAAGCCGCCGCCCCCCCATCCCCACTCCTCCGAGTCCACCTGTCCTGCTTCCTCCAGCCACGAGCACCCCCGCTGCCCCCACATGGCGGGCGTTCCCGGGGTCTTCCCGGCTTGCCCCTCCCGCGGGCCTCTGCTCAAACGGCCCTCCTCGCCGCCCCCCACCCCCTGTCCCCCGAGCCCCTGGCACACGGGTGTGCTTCCCGGGCGTGAGCTCTGGGGTGCTGCCTGGCCCCCGTGTCACCTGTGAGGGGCTGGCAGCCCAGCTGAGCACTGGCGAGCTGTCCACGGGCCCCGTTGCCACCAGCTGTTGTTTCTTCCCTCCCATCCCTGGAGGTGTAACGGCCACGCAGTGAACACGTTCCACACGTCCCATCGCACGATGTGACATGACCCCATCCCCAGTCACCCCGAAGGCTTCCCGCACTCCTCCCTGACCCCCGGCACCGCGGAGGCCCTGCACTTCCTGGGCCCCAGACTCGCGCATACAGACACCGCACATGCCATGACGTGTCCGGTGGCTTTCCCACCGCATCTGGTTTTGCCATCCGTCCACAGTGGGCCGTGCACACGGTCTGTCCCCTTCCAGCTCCATTGCATCTCGGGCCTTTTGGGGTTGATTCTGTGGGCGCCTGGCCCTTCCCTCGGGGAGTGGCTGCACCCACGCCGTGGCCTTCCGTGGACCTTCCGTGGGCCGGCGTGGCTCCTCTGCGGGCGTCTCTGCTCTGATGGTGTTTTGGTTTTGTGTGTGTGTTTTCAGGCTGGCAGAGCTGGGGGCCGCCCCCCCGCCGCGCAAATCTGTTTTATTCCCTCCCTCAGAGGCCAGATCAGACCTTCCGGCATGCCTTTACCTTCAGAGCATGGCCAAGCCCCAGGCCGGGCCCTATTGGCTCTACTACTGCTTTCTCAGGGTCTCCGTATGGGGACTTCAGTGTCTTGCCACCGAGATGCTGGGCAGGGCCGGCAGAAGCAAAACATGAAGGGGCCCCAGTGTGCCTGCTCCGCTCCGCTCTGGGCGCCAAGGGGCTGGTGCAGATGATAGCAGGAGGCCTTCCTTCACCAGGCATCCGAGGCTTCCATGGACCGCATCCTGTCTTGAAAACGCAGGGGCCACAGGGTAAAGCCTGGGTGGGACCCATCTCCCAGGCACACGGCGCTGCCCCGTGCTGGCCTTTCCCACTGCCCCAACCACCTGGCTCTTCCTGACCCCTGTGGTCTTTCTGGCCACATCCAGCGTCTGAGCCGCTGAGCGCACATTCGGGGCACTGAGTGCGGTTCAGCCCACACCCGGTGTGGCTACGGTGTACGGTACTGCTGACCCTCTCCACCCGGCCCCGTGAGCCGTGTCTTCTCACGGCGAGATCACCCCCATTACCGGAGCCAAATAGGAAGGGCGCCAGGCTAGGCTCTGGTGGGGCTAACTGGGCTTTGGAAGTCACCTTGGGGTTTGTCCAGCTCGCATCTGATGAGGAGCCCCAGGGAACTGATGGCTGTGGAAGCCATGGGGACAGAGGACTCTCCGGGTCCATCAAGGACTTTCCTGGGATGGTAAACAGGCGACCCAGGAGCGTGGTTAACACCAAGTGACCCTTGGGGCTGGGCGGCTGGCGCCCTGTCCGTAACTCCCCTTCTGAGAACCTTGCGGTGCGACCAGGTGGAAAGAAGATCCCACCACAGAGCCCCAGGCTGTGAGCCTTGCGCCTCCAGCCTCGCAGGGGTGGGCTCACTCTGCTTTCGGGATCGGTTGTCCCCCTCGCAGGGCTCACCTCTCCCTCTGGGCCATTTAACACTGGAAAGATCTTTCAAAGGGAATTATGGCCTCAAATGAGTTCAACTGGTAGAGCGGTTGCCTTCGATCATGCCAATGTCATCTTCCAGGGAAGGGAAGGTGTCTGTGGAGTGCTAGGGATGGACAAGTTTGACGACGCCCCACCCCCCCCACCCCCCCGAGGGCCAGGGAGGCCCAATCCATGGAACAGCCTCTTCACACTGACTTCTAAACGAATGTAAAGACTGAGGCCATTTAGGCCTTTTGTTGATAGCAAACATCTTCTCTCTGGACATGTGGTCACTGTCACTTCCCAGCTCCTAGGTGGTTGGGATGAGAAACCCCATTTCGGGTGTTTCCTGAGGTGTGAGCTGGGTGTTGGCCATGTTGGGGGAAGAGGGTCTGGGCAGCCCTTCCCAAGGGGGTGGGCCCACCTAGACCTGGATGCTGGGTCAGCTGGTGGTGAACTACGGACCGAGCGGGGTGATGGGCCTAGAGACGGGGGCCACCGTGGTCCGGCCTTGTCCCCCCCCGCCCCGCCCCAGTGAGGACCAGGGTCTCTGTGCCATGACTGGTCTTCCAATCCCCCCGTCCTGATTTTTCTTCCTGGATCTTCTGTCCATTTTGTATTCCCCAAATTCCCTTTCCCATCGTGTCAGAAACACGCTTCCCATGAAGCTGCGTGCAGGCAAGTCTACTCCTATTTATCTTTGAAAGGCGAACGGACCGAGTGTCTTTTTTCTTACTGTAAGTTCTCATCACCTGTCTTGAGCAGATGGTACAGAGTGAGTTCCCACATTCTTCCCTTCTCCACATGGTTTCCTGAGTCTTGCGTTGGTGTCAGTTTGTTGCAACGGTGACCAACGGTCCACTGTTAGTAAGTAAAGGGCTAGTTGAGGTGGGGATTCCGTCTTTGTCTTCTGCAGGCCAACGGGTTGTGACAAATGCATCCAGTCCAGTATCCCATAGAATAATACTGTGTGTAAACCACCCCCACTCCACCTCTTTGTCCTTGATCTTTTTATTACTTTGCCTTTTCTAGAACGTCCAGACTGAACTGGGATCAGACCGTGGGAAGCTCTTTTTAACAGGCTCTCTTGTGTAGTGATATATACAGAATGTCCTGTGTCTTTTCAGGGACTGATGGCTCATCTTAGTGTCTTATGTACATTGTATTGTCCTCTGCATCCTGTGTTCAGTTTCTGATTCAGCCAAAGGCTACGGGGGGACCTTCTGGAACAGTAGCCGGCCTTCCCTGGGCTTTGCTCCCTTCCCTGGCGGGCCTGGCAGGCAGTGGCCATGGGAGCAGCAGTCCTCAGGCTCTGGCCAGGTTGAAGCCTGGCTGGGCCGCCCCCATGGGCGCTAACTACCGCTTCTCTTTCAGATCCGCCTGACGGACCCACTGGGCAAGCTCTCGCACATCCTGGAGATGGACCACTTCGCCCTGGTGGTCCACGAGCAGATCCAGTGTGAGTAGGGCCCGCTGCACGCCTGGCTGGGTTGGGGCCGGGGAGCGGGAGCCCTGCAGGCCACTGGCTGCCAAGGCCCAGCCCCAGGTTCCGTGTGCCTTCCTGCCATGAGCTGTGTGAGGCAGGGAGGTCCTTGTCCCTCAGGCATCTAGGGAGTCGGTGGTGCTGACCTTGAGCCCCCACCGGCCTTGGACTGTGGATCCGAGGGACCCCTCTGCCTGGGTGCCCACTGCCGGGGAGGCCACGGGGCTTTCCAACTGCCATGTACACAGCCACTTTCAGGCCAGGGGACACCGGTTCAGTCCCCGGGAGGAGGCGGCCTGGGGAAATGAGAATCGGGAGGGGCCTGGAATCTGCCCACCCTCCTGACAGAGGGCTGGTCTTGGTGCCTGGACGGCCCCGAGTCTAACCCCTCTCCCGTCCTTGGCTCCACAGCGCAGGACCTGGCCTTATCGGGCGTGGTGGGGGGGCCTGCAGGTATGTACGCCCTGCCCCTCCCCGGAAACGGCTCTGCGGTTAGAATCGCAGCCTCCGAGGGCAAAGGAGGGTGTCCAGAGTCCTGGACCCCCAAGCTTGAGTGGGGGGGTTCTTCCTCCTAGTTTCACATTTACTCATATTTGAGCATCTACAAAAAAAAAGAGAAAAGAAAAAGATAAGGAGTTCCAAGTTCAGGGTCCAGGAACAGTTTTCTTCGAGTCACACTCGATAGCACTTCTGCTGTGTTGGCAGAGCCGAGTGGTCTAACGGACCGTGTGGCCCTTTACAGAAAGTTTGCACGCCTCGGCTGTGGACGAGTTTCCCCTGGAGGGGTGTGTAGGGCAGGTTACAGAGGCAGCTACAGACCGCCCTCTCCTGCAGGGGTGCGTGCACAGAGGCAGCCCTGGACAGGCTTCTCCAAAGCTGCCCCTTTGCCTGTACATCCCTGCAATGCACGGGGCTGATCTCTTCTGGGTTCCTTGTTTTTTCCTGAGGTGCTCGGAGTAGGCCAGCTGGGTGCCCGCCCCCCCAATGCCTTCCCCACCCCCACCCTCTGTGACCTCTGCCCTCAAAGGCGCCAGGGACAGCCGGCCACAGGAGCGGTGCTGGGGAAAGAGATGGGACCTGGGCCTTTCCCTCCTGCTCCTCCGCTCTGCTGGCCGTCCGTGTGTCGGTCATGGCTCTCCAGGGAAACCAGGATGAGTGGACGTCCGGAAAGAGATTCAGTATCAGGAATTGGCTCACGTGACTAGGTCGGCAGGTCCCAGGAGCTGCGGGCTGAGCGGACAGACTCAAGACCCGAGAAGAGCCAGTGTTTCAGTTTGAGTCCAAAGACAGGAACGATTTTCTCTCACTCAGGGAGCATCAGCCTTTTTGTTCTGTTCAGGCCTTCGGCTGATTCGGCACGGCTTGCCAGGCCAGGGAGGGCCGTCTGCTTTACTCAGTGTACCCGATCAAATATCTGGTCTCAGCCAGCCAGCCAGAATAACGTTTGACCGAGTGTTTGTGCACCCCATGACTTAGTGAAGCAGACACATCAAATTAACCACCCCCAAAACCCTCTCTGCCCACTGGTGGCACAGGATGGCAGCCACCACGAGAGGGGCCTGGGTTTGAAGACAGGCCAGAGCCACGAGCGGCCGTAGTTCACGGCTGTGGGCAGTGTTGGGACTTCACGCCCAAACTCAAGCGCAGGCACCAAGGGGGACCCACAGGTTGGCTGAGTAGTGAGACTGGGGCAGCTGGCCCTGCAGACCTGGTGTGGAGAAGCCAGGACCCTATTCTGCAGCTTCGCCCAGACGGCTCCTGTCAGAAGATGGCCGTTGCTGCGGGTCGGCCCGGGGGCTGCTGGGGAGACCCTCGGGCGGCTTCAGGGCGGGGCCTCGGGAGCTCAGCCGCCAGCAGGGCCCGGGTGTGGGCAGGGCGGCCTCTCGTCGCATGCACACAGAGGTGCCCTTTTACACCTACTGCCTTGTTCCTCAGACCACAGCAACGGCAAGTCCAGTAAGAGGCAGATGGTGTTCGGGGTCGTCACTGCCATCGACTTGCTGAACTTCGTGGCTGCTCGCGAGCGAGAGCAGAAGACCAAGTCAGGACCTGCCGGGGCCACGGCACAGCTCTGACGGCCCCCACGCCGCCGGCTGGTGTCCATCCTCTTTTGCTTTTGTCTGAGCACACAGACGTGACTTTCAGCTGCCTGACGCTGGGCACTGCTCTAACATGATGGGTAGCAAGGACAGGTGCAGGATGCTTAGCCTGGGGCCAGCAGGAATGTTCGTTTTCCCTTTATTAGCACCTGGCTACCTAAATGAGTCTATTTATGGTTTATTAGAGTAGATGTGTTTTTCTTTAACTTTCTTCTAAAATGTTTCAACGCAACAATCTTATTAAATAGAACTCAGCCAGGTGGAGGAACCCATGTGAGGATAGGAGCAGGGTGGGTAAAAGCAGCTGCAGGTGCCTTTTCTGGGGAAGAATCCAGAACCGGGAGCAGCAGAAAGGGGCTGGGGAAGCGTGGGGTCAGTGTCTGCTTGGGGCTGGGTCGGTCAGAGCAACTCGAGTGTTTGGGGTTTTTTGATTGAGGTGAAATTCCCATAACCTTAAATCAACAGTTTAAAAATGTGATGTTCTCGGTGTCCCGTCGCCAGGTCCCGGTGCATGTTATCACCTCCTCTCCCTCTCCTGGCCACCACCACTCTGCTTTGTGTCTGCGTGGGTGTATCTGTTTGGGATCCATCATATAAATGGAATCCTACAGTCTGGCTTTCTGTGTCTGGCTTATTTCACTCAGCACGATGTTTCTGGAGTTCGCCCACACTGTAGCAAGGGTCGGTTCTCACTCGTTTTATGGCTGAATAATGTTCCCTTGCGCAGATGGATGTTGTGTTTATCCTTTCATCCACGACGGATGGACATTTGGGTTGTTTCTGCCTCTCACCTGTTTGTTAGGAACTGTGCTGCCATGAACCTTTGTGTATAAGTATTTGTTTGAAGATCTGTTTTGAATTCTTTTGGTTCTATACCCGGGCCTGAAATTGCTGGGTCACGTGATAACTCCACGTGTGATTTTTTTTGAGGGACCACCAGACTGTTCCACAGCGGCCGCCCCCGGCTTACATCCCCACCAGCCACGCACAAAGATTCCAGTTTCTCCACATCCTTGTCCACATTTGTTATTCCCTAGTTTTGGGGGTTTCTGTGTATTTGCTTTATAACCACGATGGTATGAAGTGGCATCTCATGGTTTTGATTTGCATTTCCCTAATGACTAATGATGCTGAGCATCTTTTTATGTGCTTTTTGGTCATTTGTGTATCTTTGCAGAAATACCTATCCAAGTTCTTTACCCATTCTCAAACTGGGTTGTCTTTTGTTGTCTAGCTGTAGGAGTTCTTTATATACTCTAGATACTAGACCCTTATCAGATATGTGATTTGCAAATATTTTCTCCCCTTCTGTGGAGTATCTTTTCCCTTTCTTGATAATGACTTTTAGTGTACAACATTTTACACTTTAATGAAGTTCAGTTTATTTTTTTCTTTTGTTATACCTTTGCTTTGTATATATGAACCCATTACCAAATCCTAAGTCATGAAATTTTACACTGGTTTTCTTCTAAGACTTTTATAGTTTTAGCTGTTCTATTTGGTTCATTAACCCATTTTAATTTTTATACATGGTGTGAGGTAGGGATCCAACCTCATTTTTTTTTTTTTTTTGTATGTGGATGTCTATTTGTTAAAGAGAGATTATCCCCCATTGAATGGTCCTGGCACTCTTGGTGAAAATCAATTGTCCAAGGTGAAGGTGGAAGTGTTTTTTTCTGGACTCCGAATTCTACTCATTGGTCAATAGATCTGTCTCTAGGCCAGTACCACACTGTTTTTGATGACTATAGCTTTGTAGTAAGTTTTGAAATCAGGAACTGTGAGCCCTCCGGCTTTGTTCATTTTTAGTATTATTTTGGAAATCATGATGTATCTTGATGTATTTTTTCTTCATGTTTCTTGTACTTGGAATTCTTTGAGCTTCTTGAATTCCAATATTTGACTAGAAATAGTTCCAGAAAGAAAAGAGAAAGCAGGGAAAGAAATCACCAGTGAAATAATTCAAGAACCTTCCCAGACTGAAAGACATGATTTTGTAGGTTGAGAGGGTCCATCCAGTACCCAGCACGATGGATGGGGAAAGACTCACACAGGGAACATCATTGTGAAATGTTAGATCACTAGGGACAGGATCCAAAAGCAGCTTCCAGAGGTGGGTGGGGAAACCCAGCTCACCTAGAAAGTCTTGGGAATGAGAAAAACATCTGATTTGATCTCTAGCTTGTGGAGGCTGGGAGACAAGGGAGCAGAGCCTAAAAACATCTGGAATGGGAAGGAATATAGGCCAAGCCCTCCCTTAACAGCAAGATGGGGATACAGATATTTCCACCCAGGGACTGGAAGAGGTGCTCCCTAGGTCCTCAAGGGCACCCCAGAATGGTAGGGAAGGCAGGTCCCCTGACAGAGGGCTAGTTAGCCATGGACTGCAGCAGGACAGAGGGCTCCAGGGGATGCTGTGAGGGGGAGGGAACATCAGAGGCCTACAAACATTTGAGTCACAAGCCTCGTAGAAAGTAGGGGTTGCTTTAGTGTACCTAGGAAGCACCACAAAAAGGCAATTTGAAGCTGACCCTTGAACGGCACAGGGGTTAGGGGTGCCAACCCCCCTCCTCCTGCAGTAAAAAATCTGCAGCTTTTTGTTCCTCAGAAACTTAACTGCTGGGGCGCCTGGGAAGCTCAGCTGGTTAAATGTCTGCCTTCGGCTCAGGTCATGATCTCAGGGTCCCGGGATCGAGCCCCGCATCGGCTCCCTGCCCAGTGGGGAGTCTGCTGCTCCCTCGGCCCCTACCCCCTGCCCACTTGTGCTAACTCTCACTCTCAAAATCTTTAAAAAGATACTTAACTGCTAATAGCCTACCACCGACCAGAAGCCTTGCTGATAATGGAGTTAACACAGACTTTATATGTTACATTTATACTGTATTCTTACAATAAACTAAGCTAGAGGAAAGAATATTAAGACATCAGGAAGAGAAAATACATGTACAGACTAGACTATGGAGAAAAAGTCCACGGACAAGTGGATCCACGCAGTCCAAAGCTGTGTGGTTCGAGGGTCTGCTGAACGAGGAATGCAGTCACAGTGCTTAACACAGCTAAGCTGGGAGGAAGGACTGCTTAATTAAAACCCTGTAAACACTGCGTGCCGATCTACACAAACGTTATTATAAACCATAGGAAGTGTGTCTGCACTGGTGGGAAGGGGCATGTGGGCAGGAGAGTCCTCACTCCCTGCAGAAGGACATTACTAGGTAACAAGTAGGGTGAGCAAGGGTTTGGAACCATACACGCAAGGGGCACGGGCTGCAGCTAGGGGGACCGAAGCCGCTGTGTCTCGAGTGCATGGGGTGGGTCTGGGACCTGCTCATGTTCATCGTAAGCCGCCTAGAACTGTTTGCCCTGGATCTGTATATAATGGTGATTTTAAAAAAATCTTTTTACACACGAAGCCAGTAAAAGCTAGTTTCTGGACGAAAAGGAAAGTACCTTGGGTACATTTCTGAAACTCAGTAGTCCCTGTATTAGGCTTTTGTGAACAGAGACCGGATAGAGAAGACAGTCGTGTCTGGTGGCCCATATCTGATGCTGTCATTACAGGACTCCCGATGGGTCAGGTTACTTTCCCGCAACAATGCTGGTACTGGACAGTCTCCCAACACTTTCATAGCCTGCTCCCTGGGTACCACGGAGTAGACTGTAGGACAGCGATGCTCCATGTGGAGCTCAGAGGCTCCCCTCCCCTGGGCACCCCAGTCTTCAACCTCGTCAGGAGCCCGCCTGCCCCTGCTGCTCGTGCTGGTGGCAGAAGCTGGCAGCCCCCCGCAGTCTGCTCCTCATTCCTCCGTGCCAGCCCGGCCGAGACCCGGTGGGCAGCGCCGGTGGCCACCTGGGGCTGTCCTGGGGGGGAGCTCTCTCAGCTTCCTGGCTGGGTGGGGCTGCATGGGGCTCAGGACCCGCCTCCAGCATGTCCCTGGCTGTCCCCTCACCGTTGCCCCCGGACACCGCCTCTCCGGAGCGGGAGGCCTTCGGCGACAAGCCTCCTGTTGGAGGCGCACCTCCCTCCCATGCCCGCATCCTCTGGCAGAGAGCAGCCTGGTGCCCTGGACACACCCCTTAATAAAGCGCAGTTCCTTAGTCATTACCACCTTGTCTCTAAGACGGAGGCTCCTACCTGGCATCCCGGGCCTGGGCTGTGGCGGGAAGGCCCCTTGCTCTGGACACGGCCGGCAGTCATCAGCACAGGTGGCCTGCTCCGCCCACGGGCCTGAACTTGGGGCGGGGCCACACCTGGCTGCAAGGGAAGCTGGACTTTGGGGTCTTTAGTCAGCTGGCCACAGGCTCAGCTTAAAATGCCAGTGATGGGGGTGCCAGTCCTAAGGAAAAAGAAAAATCAAAGATGGGTGGGGACACACCCTGCCCTTTCCTGAGGGAACCCCCACAAGTGATAGAGCTGGCTCAGGACACTAGTGTCTCAGAGGGCAAGGCGACGGAGCTCCTTGGGTCCATGTGACCATCCCATGTGGCTGGCGTACCCCCTCCTCCTGCTGAGTTGGGCTGGGGAACGTGGGTCACTCCTGGCCATGCCCAGAAGGTGAGTGCTCTTGTGGGTTGTGGATCACCTAAGCTCCTGACATGTCCTGGCGGGAGACAAAGCCCACCTTCCAAGCTGCAGACCCGGAAGCACCCATCACTCTCCAGACATCTCTGCAGCTAGGAGGCAGGCAGCAGACAAGCCCGGCGGATCAGACGCGCCGGCTCACGCCACCAGGAAGGAGGACATGGAGCCCCCTGCGGGATCTGGGCCAAGGGGTGGGGGCTGCGGCGTGGCGTCTGCCCCATTACCCATGTGAGCAGCGGTGGCTCAGCCGCCGGCCTCAGCCTGGTTCTCCGGCTTCAGGACCACTGGAGTCTGGCCTTCCCGGCAGTTTCCTTTTTGCCGAAGGAGCCACAGACCGCGTCTCTTGCAGCAAGAAGCGCTGAGTGGGGACATTTCCTCCACGGCCACCTAGGGACGGCTGTATTCTCAGTTCCTTCCCCCATTCTCTGTCACAGCTGAGTGCACGCTGGATTCCAGAAGGAACAAGCTCTTCCTGGAGCTCAAGCTGCGGGATGAGGAACCAGCCGTCCTCCATATGGTCTGACAAGTGCTGGAAAGACTCCGGCCCCTGAATAGCTCTTTCTGGGCTTTGTCGCCCTGGCTTAAAGTACTGTCAGTCACCCTTCACCCCTCAGGAGGCTGGCCGACCAACCTGCCTACTCCTGGACTCAGAGACACAGGCCACAGGCCAG